GAAAAATCCATATGTAAATGTATAGAAAACTGGCTAAAAGATCGTATTCAGAGAGTAGTGGTTAATGATTCATACTCTGCATGGTCTAGGGTTGTCAGTGGTGTACCCAAGGTTCAGTGTTGGGACCCTTACTTTTTAATATAGTTATAAACAATATAGGGTCTGAGATTGCAAATCCCATTTCAGTCTTTGCAGATGACACCAAGCTGTGCCGTGAAATAATGTTCTTACAGGATGTCTCCAACTTACAAGCCGACCTCAATGCTCTGCGTAATTGGGCAACTATGTGGCAAATGAGGTTTAATGTTGATAAATGTAAGGTTCTGCACTTGGGGGCTAAGACTATGCAGCATCATACATACTAGGGGGGGTACAACTGGGGGGGTCAATGGTGAAGAAGGATCTGGGAGTTCTGGTAGATCACAAGATTAATAATGGCACGCAATGCCAAGCTGCAGTTTCTAAAGTGAGCAAAATCCTCTCTTGTATTAAAAGAGGTATAGACTCCAGAGAGAGAGATATCATCCCCCCCCCCCCCCCCCCGGTACAAATCATTAGTAAGACCTCATCTGGAATATGCAGTTCAGTTTTGGGCACCAATTCACAAAAAGAAAATCAGGAACTGGAGAAAGTACAGAGAAGGGCAACCAAACTGATAAGAGGCATGGAGGAGATCAGCTATGAGGAAAGATTAAAGGAACTGAATTTATTCTCTCTTGAGAAGAGGAGATTAGGGGGATATGATCACCATGTATAATACATAAGGGGGGATATGATCACCATGTATAATACATAAGGGGGGATATGATCTCCATGTATAATACATAAGGGGGGATATGATCACCATGTATAATACATATAAGGGGGGATATGATCTCCATGTATAATACATAAGGGGGGATATGATCTCCATGTATAATACATAAGGGGGGATATGATCTCCATGTATAATACATAAGGGGGATATGATCTCCATGTATAATACATAAGGGGGGGGGGTATGATCTCCATGTATAATAAATAAGGGGGGATATGATGTCCATGTATAATACATAAGGGGGGATATGATCACCATGTATAATACATAAGGGGGGATATGATCTCCATGTATAATACATAAGGGGGGGATATGATCTCCATGTATAAATACATAAGGGGGGGGATATGATTTCCACGTATAATACATAAGGGGGATATGATCTCCATGTATAATACATAAGGGGGGATATGATTTCCATGTATAATACATAAGGGGGGGTATGATCTCCATGTATAATACATAAGGGGGGGGATATGATTTCCACGTATAATACATAAGGGGGATATGATCTCCATGTATAATACATAAGGGGGGATATGATCCCATGTATAATACATAAGGGGGGATATGATCTCCATGTATAATACATAAGGGGGATATGATCTCCATGTATAATACATAAGGGGGGATATGATCTCCATGTATACTACATAAGGGGGGATATGATCTCCATGTATAATACATAAGGGGGGGATATGATCTCCATGTATAATACATAAGGGGGGATATGATCTCCATGTATAATGCATAAGGGGGGATATGATCTCCATGTATAATACATAAGGGGGGATATGATTTCCACGTATAATACATAAGGGGGATATGATCTCCATGTATAATACATAAGGGGGGATATGATCTCCATGTATAATACATAAGGGGGGGTATGATCTCCATGTATAATACATAAGGGGGGGATATGATTTCCACGTATAATACATAAGGGGGATATGATCTCCATGTATAATACATAAGGGGGGATATGATTTCCACGTATAATACATAAGGGGGATATGATCTCCATGTATAATACATAAGGGGGATATGATCCCATGTATAATACATAAAGGGGGGATATGATCTCCATGTATAATACATAAGGGGGATATGATCTCCATGTATACATAAGGGGGGATATGATCTCCATGTATAATACATAAGGGGGGGATATGATCTCCATGTATAATACATAAGGGGGGGATATGATCTCCATGTATAATGCATAAGGGGGGATATGATCTCCATGTATAATACATAAGGGGGGATATGATCACCATGTATAATACATAAGAGGGAATATGATCTCCATGTATAATACATAAGGGGGGATATGATCTCCATGTATAATACATAAGGGAGGATATGATCTCCATGTATAATACATAAGGGGGGATATGATCACCATGTATAATACATAAGGGGGGGATATGATCTCCATGTATAATACATAAGGGAGGATATGATCTCCATGTATAATACATAAGGGGGGGATATGATCTCCATGTATAATACATAAGGGGGATATGATCTCCATGTATAATACATAAGGGGGGATATGATCTCCATGTATAATACATAAGGGGGGGATATGATCTCCATGTATAATACATAAGGGAGGATATGATCTCCATGTATAAATACATCAGTGGTTCATATAGTGAACTCCATGTAGCGTTATTCACCCTGAGGTCTTTACAGAGGACAAGGGGGCGCGCTAACGTCTGGGGGAAAAGAAATTTAATCTCCAAACGCGGAAAGGTTTCTTCACAGCTGTGAAAATGTGGAATAGACTCCCTCAAGAGTTGGTTCTGGCCAGCTCAGTGGATTGCTTCAAAAAAGTCCTGGATTATTTCTTAGATACACAGAATATAACTGGATATAACATTTATAGGTAAAGTTGATCCAGAGAATATCCGATTGCCTCTCGGGGGATCAGGAAGGAATTTTTTCCCAGCAAGAGCAAATTGGATCATGCTTTGCTGGGGTTTTTTTTTTTACTTCCTCTGGATCAACTGTGGGCATAGGATTATAACTTTTTTTTTTTCTATGGTTGAACTGGATGGACTTTTTTTTTTTTTTCAGCCCGTCAACTATGTAACTATGCTATACACGCACATTAACATGCAATGCATACAGACATCCCATTTTTTTTTAATTGGCTGCCAATGGACACGCATTGGAGTATGGTCTGCGGTCAACAACTTATATGCACCATTTTTGGTGAATTAGATATTTAGAATAGTGTAAATAGGTCCTACAGTGGCTAACGGCAATGGGACCCAGATATGTTAATTGGGCCTTGCATATTACTTCCAGGTTTGCTTTACACATAAAATTAGCTATATTTAACATCACACTGTTAGCCAAAAAAAAAAAATTATGGGTTTTTTGTTTTTGGAAATGAATGGAATATGTATGCTGTAATGAATCTCCAAAATGTGTTTTGTAGAATCACCTTTTCCAGCAATAGAAACATTAAAGCAGACCTATACTAAAAGATTAAAGTGGACGCATCATTAAAATTCACGCTTCACATGTCAGCAAAGCCATATCACATTATTATTTTGGAGTAAAACAGTAGAGAAAAACACTGCCCTCAGATCAGCCCAACCCAGCCCAGGCTAAGATTACAGTCTCTCCGCTACCAGAGGATTATGGGTGTTTTATGTATATAATTAGAGAATTCACAATTTTCACACAAACCATGTCTGCGAAAAGAGAATCAGCAAGATACAACCATGGTTGTCTCCAAGTACAAATATATTTTTAATCTTTGCAACCCTTGCAGTAGGCAGAGTCAAAGTCGAATTGTATTTTCAGTACTTTTGTTGCGGTCTTGTTCTCTAATACAGGATTACTTGCACATACAAAACCAATGAAAGCATTTATAAGCAAACAGCAACTATGCATTGAAACAGTTAGGGTTCATTTTTACCCACGCATTCAAAAGTACATGCGTTACAGTAAGTGTAGAGCATGACTGCTCAACCTGTGGCCCGCGGAGCCCTCGGATGTGGCCTGTGACCTCAACCCACAGAAGTTCATGCCCATGGTCAGCACAACCTGTTGATTGCAATCGGGGCTTGCTGACCCGCCACCCCCAGAGCATCAGAGTACATTGAGCCAGCACTGGCGACGGAGAAAGCAAGCGGCCGTGGAGGAAGCAGGAGCCGCATAAGTCAATGCTTCCTCTGTAGCGCCAGCTCCTGTCCCAGGTGGAATGATTACACATGAGGTTTGGGAGGTGATAAAATCCCATCGTTGAGATTTGTGTTTACCACCACCCCCCTTGCCCCATTCTCCCCCCCCCCCCCCAACACCCCTCCCTCCCCAAACTCTTTTTTTTTTTTAACCCTTTCCTGCTCCCCTCTCCTCTGCAACACATACTAAATCTAATACTGTCCCCATGTGACCTGAAAATTAACCCCATCACCTCCCTTATTCTGCCCATCTGAACATTAACCCCTTTACTTCCACCCTGCCACCGTACGTGACCAGTACATTAACCCCTTCACTGTTTAATCCCTCTGTGTATGACCTGTACAGTAAATGAATCTAGTGCACCGTTACCAAGCATCATGTTTAACCTCCTCAGAACCTGCAATTTGTTAATTTCCATAAAAATGTAGCAAAAAATTAGATCACCTTGGGGTGTCTACTTTACAAAAAAAAGGGTAACTTTAGGGGATTTCATACTGTTCGTCCATTTTATATTTTAACAGAAAATAAGCAACACCGTTTTTTTTCTTCAAAATTTTCTGCCTTTTCTCCTTTTTTATAGTAAACAATACCACAAAACAAGTGGTTATTAAAGTTTTACTAAACCCAGGACCCTGCATTCACTATATCTTTTCTCCCCGGACCCTGCATTCACTGTATCTGGTCTCCCAGGACCCCGCATTCACTATATCTGGTCCCCAGGACCCTGCATTCACTATATCCGGTCTCCCCGGACCCCGCATTCATTATATCCCTGCATTCACTATATCCGGTCTCCCCGGACCCCGCATTCACTATATCCGGTCTCCCCGGACCCTGCATTCACTATATCCGGTCTCCCCGGACCCTGCATTCACTATATCCGGTCTCCCCGGACCCCGCATTCACTATATCCGGTCTCCCCGGACCCCGCATTCACTATATCCGGTCTCCCCGGACCCCGCATTCACTATATCCGGTCTCCCCGGACCCCGCATTCACTATATCCGGTCTCCCCGGACCCCGCATTCACTATATCCGGTCTCCCCGGACCCTGCATTCACTATATCCGGTCTCCCCGGACCCTGCATTCACTATATTCCGGTCTCCCCGGACCCTGCATTCACTATATCCGGTCTCCCCGGACCCTGCATTCACTGTATCCGGTCTCCCCGGACCCTGCATTCACTGTATCTGGTCTCCCAGGACCCTGCATTCACTGTATCTGGTCTCCCAGGACCCTGCTTTCACTATATCTGGTCTCCCCGGACCCTGCATTTCACTATATCAGGTCTCCCCGGACCCTGCTTTCACTATATCTGGTCTCCCCGGACCCTGCTTTCACTATATCTGGTCTCCCAGGACCCTGCTTTCACTATATCTGGTCTTCCCGGACCCTGCTTTCACTATATCTGGTCTCCCCGGACCCTGCTTTCACTATATCTGGTCTCCCCGGACCCTGCTTTCACTATAACTGGTCTCCCCGGACCCCGCTTTCACTATATCTGGTCTCCCTGGACCCTGCATTCACTATATCTGGTCTCCCCGGACCCCGCTTTCACTATATCTGGTCTCCCCGGACCCTGCATTCACTATATCTGGTCTCCCGGACCCTGGCTTTCACTATATCTGGTCTCCCCGAATCCCTGCATTCACTATATCTGGTCTCCCCGAATCCTGCATTCACTATATCTGCTCTCCCCGGATCCTGCATTCACTATATTCGGTCTCCCTGGACCCTGCACACTATATCTGGTCTCCCCGGACCCCACATTCACTATATCTGGTCTCCCCGAATCCTGCATTTGCTATATCTGGTCTCCCCGGACCCTGCAATCACAAAATGAAGTTAAAACATACATCTATGCAATTTGATCGTATTTTTGTGATATACCTAATAAAAATGTAAGTGTACCTGACAAAGTATAGTAAAAGAAGAAATTTCTGTTTGAAAATGTACATGTAAAAGCTAAACTTGGGCACAAAACCTGTATCTTAAATTAAATTCCTCAATAACCACAAAGGATATAAATCCACTTTGTGTGCATAAAATGTCCTTTGCAAAACCCAATTAAAACTTTGTAAAAGTAAGGGTGACATCATCAATGTGCTGCACATAGCCTGTCCAGAGAACAGGGCTGTAGGAGGGGCCCAGCAGGCCCCACCCACTACAGGCTGCCAGCAGAAAATTATAGGAGAGGGCGGAGACAAGACCAGTCACCCTGCACAAGAAGAGACAGCAACAGTGAGCGGTCTTTATTACAGGAAGCTCCCGCACAGTCCTATTAGATGCAGTCACTGATCGCTAATACTAACAGCCGAGGGTAGGAGCGGCTCTTCGAATACAATAGCCAGCAGGGATGATTCCTCCATCCACAAATGTATTGATTTCTCTCATTCAGCCTGCTGTAAGAAAGAAAGTGAACTGTACACAGGTAGCCTAAGAATACAAATTCCGACAATAATAGCTTATCCCAGAGTCCAGCTTTAACCAAACAACACAACGTTACCCTAAAAGAACCAATGTCAAACGGTCACCACCTGACGAATACACTGGTCATGAAGCCCCATAGTTACACCCAACAGAAAGTAGTGGAATCAGACTGAAGGGTAAGAAGACTGTTGTGCGCAGGAGAAAATTCCCCCCCTCTCCATGGATCCGAACTTCATCACAAAATGACTTAGACCTGATAAATTCTACAAAGTTTTACATACTTATTTTGAGAAAGCTATTAATAGCTAGTTATATAAGCCCAAACTATAATTTAGGTTTATTATCCCCTGTAAGTTGTTAAAATCTAATTATCCTTGAAGGAATACAGTAGGTTTCTGATTATACAGCAGCAATTACTAGAACTGGTGTCAGCAGTCACCACACTGCAGATAACTCCAGGCACCGAGCAAAACAGACATCATGCTTTACTAACAATCACGGGTAATAGTGTGGTCATTTCAGGGGCTTTATTACTTTCATGGTAAACACATATATATGACCTGGTTCTTAAAGGGAACCTTGTATTTTCTGGACCTAATGGGTTCATTCTATACAGAGCTTGCTACTACTGCATGAAGCTTGCCCTAGTGCTATACGGACATTTCAGCCCTTTATTGGACTTTTATGCTTTATAATTTGTATAGGAGCTGGGTGATTGCTCTTTGCGCTGATTATTATTATACAGGATTTATATAGCACCAACAGTTTGCTCAGCGCTTTACAATATAACAGGAGGCAATACAGTTCAATGCAAGAGGATTAGGAGGGCCCTGCTCCTTGGAGCTTACAATCTAGGAGGGACATACTAGTGGTACAAAAAGGTAGCAACTGTGGGGGATGGACTGGTAGGAGGAGTAGAAGATTCCATTATTAGCTGAGGGCAGGATAGGCTTCCCTGAAGAGATAGGTTTTCAGAGATCGCCTAAAAGTGAGCAGAGTAGGCAATAGTCTGATAGATTGGTGTAGAGAGTTCCAGAGGTTGGGGGAGGCTCTGGAGAAGTCCTGGAGATGAGCATGGGAGGAGGAGACAAGGGAGCTAGAGAGTAGGAGGTCGTGCGAGGAGTGGAGAGTACGGTTTGAGTGATATTTGGAGACAAGATTGGTGATGTAATTTGGGGCAGAGTTATAAATGGCTTTATATGTCATTGTTCATGTTTTGAATTTTATCCGTTGGGCAATGGGAAGCCAGTGGAGGGATTGGCAGAGAGGGGTGGCAGACACTGAGTGGAGGTCATTGGAGGGATTGGCAGAGAGGGATGGCAGATACAGAACGGTTAGTAAGGTGGGTGAGTCTGGCAGCAACATTCATGATAGATTGAAGAAGGGATAGCCTGCGATGAGGTCGGCCAATGAGGAGGGAGTTACAATAGTCAAGGCAAGAGATAGCAAGGGAGTGAATAAGTTCCTTAGTAGTTTCCGAGGTTGAGAACGGCCATATCTTGGAGATGTTGTGGAGGTGAAGTCTACAGGTGATTGTCACAGGAGTAGGTGTCACAGGTGATTGTCACAGGTCACTCTGTATTGAGTTTCTTGTTGTCATAACAGGTTTCAACCTGACCTACTACAAGAGAGATATAATGCTGGTTTTTACCAACACCAGTATCTCCTCATTTGCAATTTTCCATGACTTCAAATCTCCTGAAAGACTAAAGCAAGCCACTGATGATACAATTTTCTTTCCTGCAACCACGGGTTGCAGGAAAGAGTCTCCAGCGTCACTGAAATTTTGTAGAATCTGCAGAATTTTGTTCTGCCAGCAGGGAACTTTCCCTGCCGGCAGAACACAATGATCACTGCTAGTGGCTATAGCCTTTGTCAGTAATCACAAGCAAAAAGTCTGACAGGCTGGTTGTACTGAAGTCAATCGATGGATCGACTTCAGTACATGCAGCCTGCCCATAGATGGATCAAATTTAGACTGGTCCCTGCTGATTTGGTCAAGATGTGATCCATCTATGGCCGACTTAAATTCAATTTCAAAGGTCTACAGGTCCCCTGTAAGTTGTTAAAATCGAATTATCCTTGAAGGAATACAGGAGGTTTCTGATTATACAGCAGCAGCAATTACTAGAACTGGTGTCAGCAGTCACCACACTGCAGATAACTCCAGGCACCGAACAAAACAGACATCATGCTTTACTATCAATCACGGGTTATAGTGTGGTCATTTCAGGGGCTTTATTAATTTCATGGTAAACACAAATATATGACCTGGTTCTTAAAGGGAACCTTGTATTTGCTGGACCTAACGGGTTTCAACCTGACCTGCTACAACAGAGATATAATGCTGGTTTTTACCAATACAATATCTCCTCATTTGCAATTTTCCATGACTTTCAATCTCCTGAAAGACTAAAGCAAGCCAGTGATGATACAACTTTCTTTCCTGCAACCACGGGTTAACCCCTTAGGTTCCACAGTGAGTATAACAAGTATGCTTTGCTGCATATACAGACTGATTGTACTGTTGTGGGTTTAGTAACACTTTATGTATTTCCCAGAAATTATATTTCACATATAGAAGTACTCTGTGGACCCCATCATGGTACACTTACAACTGGTTGGCTTGTATACTTACATATTCATCACTATCTGCATGAGCTGCTATATCTCCAGCAGATCTACTGGGCTTTGGCTCTCCTCCATCCAGTAACTTTGCATCGGGAAACAGGAACTGGAAGAAAAACAAGAAATAGGAAATGAGAAGACATATGGGAAAGAGGCAATAAGGAACTTTTTGGTGGTTGTTCTGAACTAATCCTCTCCACGTATACTGTAAATTTTGCATCCTTTGAAATCTGAAATAAATATAGATATTGGTTTGCATGAATGGGAAGTGAACAAGGAGGGGGGACCTTTAACAAGAACTCCTCTTTAGCCCCCTAGATATTTCCAAGCACAAACTGAGGTTTTCAAAATCCGAAAAGAAGGCCAAACTCTACTCACACTTTATCTCGCTATTAACTTGTACCCAACAGATTATGATTTGTGACTTATTTCTGTTTGGAAATGTATGATGGCGAATGGAGAAGAGGAGGAGTGCCAGCTGGGAACCCTAGAAGAGGAGTTTCGGGGCAAGTAAGTACAACAAGTTTGTTCTTTAGAAAAAAAAAAAAGCTCTACAACATCTTTAAGCGCTGGCTGGGTGCCCTTTGGGGAAATATCCCCTCACTTCCTGTCATTTAGGGCAGCACAGTGGCTAAATGGTTAGCACTTCCGCCTGGCAGTACTAGGGTCGCTGGTTCGAATCCCAACCACGGCACCTCCTGCCTGGAGTTTGCATGTTCTCCCTGTGCCTGCGTGGGTTTCCTCCGGGTACTCCGGTTTCCTCCCACACTCCAAAGACATGCTGGTAGGTTAATTGGATCCTGTCTAAATTGGCCCTAGTATGTGTATGTATGAATGAGTTAGGGACCTTAGATTGTACACCCCTTGAGGGTTAGGGACTGATGTGAATGTACAATATATATGTAAAGCGCTGCGTAAATTGACGGTGCTATATAAGTACCTGAAATAAATAAAGAAATTTCTGACACCCATTACCCAGAATCTAAGTGAGGGGAATCTCTCCAATGGGTAATCTGACAACAACAGAGGTTCTTACCCTTTACCACTCCATTAAAAAAAAAAAAAAAAAAAACAGAACCAAAACACATTATTTATGTGTAATGGTGTGCATCTCATTACCCAAAGATGGAGGCTTCTATTAAAAATCTTTGCTGTAATGTCTCCTACACAGTTGCAGGTTACTGCCCTGAGTGGCTGTCTTCCAGCGCTGTGAAAGTTAACAGCAGCCACAGCTACTGAGAAAAGTTGTACCGCCTGCCTGACCCCTTCTGTCCTTTCCGACATTCATATTTCTTGCACAATGCATCGTGTTCTGTGAATCATCGGAGGAGATCCTGACATTCCTCTTCCATTCACAGAACCCAATGCATTGTGCAAGAAATTTGAATGGCGGAAAGGGCAGAAGGGGGTCAGGCAGGCGGTACAACTTTTCTCAGTAGCTGTATGTAAAAATACGAGCAACGTGAATAGTGCAAAGGGCAGTAACATGAGAG